AATACACATAATCTGTCCAGCCAGTGTTACATCTGGCTTTTCTTTTGTTTTAGTTTGTTACACTACAATACACATAATCTGTCCAGCCAGTGTCACATCTGGCTTGTCTTCTGTTTTAGTTTGTTACACTACAATACACATAATCTGTCCAGCCAGTGTTACATCTGGCTTTTCTTCTGTTGTCGTTTATTACACTACAATACACATAATCTGTCCAGCCAGTGTTACATCTGGCTTTTCTTCTGTTTTAGTTTATTACACTACAATACACACAGTCTGTCCAGCCAGTGTCACATCTGGCTTGTCTTCTGTTTTAGTTTGTTACACTACAATACACATAATCTGTCCAGCCAGTGTCACATCTGGCTTTTCTTTTCGCATTTTTGGTTCAAAAAATTTATTTTAGTCTATAATCATTACACTCTTGCTTTGTGTCACCAAACATATAACTTTAACATCTGATATTTTACAATTATCCTCTCACTATCTTTTTAAGGAAATTCCTTTTTCTTTTCAACATTTAAACCTGACCATCTACTTAATAAAGTATCCCTTCAAGTGTTATTTTATGTTAAAAACATAAGAAGGCCTCCACTTGAAGCGTTATTTGGAGTATACTTCATTTATCTAAATTTATTATAAATCCTATCAATTACTTGATACAAAGTAAACTAACAGTCTTTTCAGAATAATAAAGTATTATATAATTGTGTCTCTTTGTTAGTACATACATACAGACAGACATATTAATATTTAATTTACTTTTATTCTAAACAAGCAAAATTAGGCTTACACTCATATTCACCAAAATGACAATGAGGTGTTTTTTTCATTTGGACACGTAAACATACTGTCCAAGAAATTAAACTTTCTGTCAAAAATATTATACCCACTGTTTAAGATACTATATTGACTGTCTAGGATACTAAACCTACTGTCTAAGATACTACACCTACTGTCAAAGATGCTATACTGACTGTCAAAGATGCTATACTGACTGTCTAAGATGCTATACTGACTGTCAAAGATGCTATACTGACTGTCAAAGATGCTATACTGACTGTCAAAGATGCTATACTGACTGTCTAAGATACTATACTTACTGTATAAGATACTATACTCACTGTCTAAGATACTATACTCACTGTCTAAGATACTATACCTACTGTCTAAGATACTATACTGACTGTCAAAGATACTATACTGACTGTCTAAGATACTATACTGACTGTCTAAGATACTATATTGACTGTCTAAGATACTATACTTACTGTCTAAAATACTATACTGACTGTAAAAGATACTATACTGACTGTCAAAGATACTATACTGACTGTCAAAGATACTATACTGACTGTCTAAGATACTATACTGACTGTCTAAGATACTATACTGACTGTCTAAGATACTATACTGACTGTCAAAGATACTATACTTACTGTCTAAGATACTACACCTACTGTCTAAGATACTACACCTACTGTCTAAGATACTACACCTACTGTCTAAGATACTACACCTACTGTCTAAGATACTATATTGACTGTCTAAGATGCTATACTTACTGTCAAAGATGCTATACTGACTGTCAAAGATACTATACTTACTGTCTAAGATACTACACC